CGGGCAGGACGAAGCGCCGGGCCGGATCGCCGCCGCGCGGACCGGAGCCGCCCAGGGCCAGGCTCCCAGGCCAGGGCGAGGGCGACCCTTCTCCAGAGCCCGCTGGGGCTGCTTTGTCCTGGCAAGGCCGGAGCCGCGCTCCTAACTAGCGAGGGTGCCCTCGCGCGCGTGCAACAGGGCGGCTGGGCGCTCGCTGGCCCCAACTGCGCCCAGAACACGCCAACAGGAGAACAAAGGGGGACCAGGCCTGCCCCTGTGAGGGTGGGTGCTTTCACACCCCTGCTGCGGATGAAGAACCCCACAGCCTCTGAGCTCAAGTGATGCTTCGGAAGGATTCAGGTGTGGGGACAGGCTCAAGAGCCTGCTGCCCGGGACAGGCAGAGAGGGGTGAGGCAGGGAGGGAGGAGCCCGCTGGCCCCCTGCCCACCTCAGTCTCCAACTCTGTAAAATGGGGAGGAAGAAACAGGATGAACTCAGCATTCCGGCGTCAACACGGTTCGCTAAGACAGAGACTCCCGTGCCAGGCGCTCTGCAGAAGGGCAGCTACCAGCTGGTGACCCCCCGCCCGCGACCTCCTGGCCTGCAGCCACCAGCCCTTCAGGCTGCCGCATCCGACACGGCAGCTGAGCGGCAGAGCAGTGCGTGCGGGCAGAGCATGCAGCCCGCCTGTCCGAAAGCCCCCCCAAAGCGTCAGGGACCACCCAGCGGCCGAACCTTCGGGCCACGAATCAGTTTCACTTCTACTCTTTTAACACGTCAAGATGGCACCTGCAAAGGCCACGATACAGGTGCATCATGCAGGCTCCGAGGGGCCAGGAAATGCAGTTTCCCAGATGAAGCGAAATGTCCAGGTGCAACGACACAGATCGGTGTTAGGTCCGTTTGTTTGTTTGAAAACGCATGAACACACAGAGGGCGTCTGCGGCAGCGAAAGCGGGCGTGTGTCACGGGGCTGCCCACGCTGTCCCTCCTCCCGCCGGGCCCCGGCGCGCCCCCGGCGAGGCTGCTCTCAAAGCCACCTATGCACGGCACTCTGGTCACACCTGGCCCCAGCGGCCCGGCCGGCCGGCCGTCCAGCCGCCGCCACACCCACCTGCCCCTGCCACAGCGCGCTCAGCAGCGGGGCCCTCACGTGTCCACTCTGCAGGGCCCAGGACCCAGGAGTCTTGTCTTTTCAGCCTCAACAGAAAGTCCCTGTTGACTAGACACGAGGACTGTGCCCTGCCAGGGTGCCTCCCCCGGGGTGCACCGCTCACAGCGAAGAGCCGAACTTGGGGTCCTGTGCCCAGTCCCATGCTCCAAGGCCCTTTCTCCTGTCCAATCCTAAGCATGAAAACAGGTGTGACTATCACCGCACTTGAATGCAGACAGCACCCCAACAGCTCGGCAGGTTTCATCACTCGCTTGTGGCTTCACTTTCCCTTTTGCTCGCGTGTTCCTCTCTCACGTCCTGGGCACCGGGCATCGCCCGCCCGGGCAGCCAGGAGGCGGGGGCCCGCCTCAAGAAACCACGCGCTCCTAACAAAAACCGCTGCCTGCTGCTGGCGTGCAGTCAGGAGCGCCCCGCACGGCGTGTGGGGACGCCCGACTTGGTCACAGTGTAAGATCCTGCAGCCGCAGCTGGGCGAGGTCAGCCACCCCGCAGAGCTCAGGGAGGCCAGCAGGCGGGGCGAGGGCCAGCAGGAGGGTCGGGCCAGCCCTGCGCCTGGGGCCGGCCCACTGTCAGACGCCGACAGCCGAGCTGGGGGTTCAGGGTGGGGTAGGCCGGCCTCCAGTAAGGCCTCCAAGTACCTCTCGTCACGCGGGGCAGCCCTGGGGCCCCTCAGGAGGAAACCGCCCCAGCCTGAGACAGGGCCCGGCGGCTGGGGTCTCCCCGCCGGTCCTGGCTGCCGAGGATCCAGGCCGGGATTTGCAGCTCGCAGACGAGGATGCAGGCCTGGAGTAGAAGATTCCATTTGATCCACCTCAGATGACACTGACTCCTGATGACACAGAAAGAGGGCGCCTCTGGCCCAGCTGGCCCTCACCACCTCCCGTGCTCGCCGGCTCTCCAGAAGGCAGCCGCTGCCCACATCCATCCGCGGGGAGGCCCCCTCCCGGCCTGGGCCCGCCTGGGGCTCGAGCGGAAAGGGCCTCTCCCCGCCACCCTGGGGACTTGGGCTCTTCCCAGGGAGGAGGCCGGCTCAGACAGGAGCTGTCCCTCCAAACCGGTCCCCTCTGCTGGCCAGACCCGCCTCTGGGGCAGGAGCCCCGGGCGCGGGCTTTGTGCTCCTGGAGCGCCCCAACCTCGGCCTCTGCATGTCCCTCCCTGAACTTTCTCCTGCCCGCAGGTCAATCAAGACTTGGGGCTTTAAAAAATCAGAGCCGTCCTGGCTCCCAGGGCTCCAGCAAAAGCTCAAAGCCTCTGCTACGGGGACCCCGCCTGAGAGGGGCGCAGACAGGGCGCCCCACCATTTCCACCCAGCAGCTGCTCTCCTGCTGCGAGGGCCCAAGCCCCTCTGGCCCCCATCCGGAACTTCCCCGTCCTGGGCTGTTTCGCACGGCCAACAGTCCCCCTCCAGCAGTGCACTGGTCACCCGGGCAGGGGTCACCCGGGCGGGGCGTGCGAGCTGGGCCCTGGGCTCAGGCTGACCCAGCACCACCTGCCTCAGCAATCCGACTGAGCAGGACGACGGTGCAGAAGAGCCCAGCAGTGACTTGCGCTGGCCAGGCCTGCAGGACCCTCAAGGCGGGCTGGCAGCAAAGAGGAAGACACGTCCTCTCCCAACCTTCTGGTTTGCCTCTGGTGCAAGACGGGCCGGGTCAGCACGCAGGCGGGCGTCTGCGCTAAGCTCTCCCGGGATGCTCGGTGCCGCAGGCTGACGTGGCGTCGGGGACTGGGGACCAGTCAGCGGGGCCCGCTTTCCTCATTTTGTAAGTTGAGGGTGGGACACAGATCACAAGGAGCCCTCGGAGGCCCAGAAGCACCAGAGTCAGGACATTCCTGCCCTGCAAGTCCACAGTGGCCGCTGAGCTCTTGCCTCTGGCCTGCAGCTCCCGGACCCAGAGGACACCGCTGCCCTGCAGACGCGGCACTGTCCCCCAGGGACAGCCGGCAGGGCTGAGCGCCATCGGCCTCCATCTCAGCCAGAGGCCCAGGGCGCCGATGGGGACCTCGCGCCCTGCCCTGGTCCTGCAGGAGAACGACAGGCCCAGGCCTGACAGCCACGGCGGCCTGACCAAAGGGCTTCCTTCCCCATCCCACTGGCCCTGGGGGGTGGGGGTGGGGGCAGCGGGGCCTTGAGAGCTGGGCGGTTGGGGGTGACCCCTGTGGCACCCAGTCCAGCTGGGTGTCCGCCACAAGGGGCCTCCCGGAACGCCACCCATGAGGTCCCGGGCAGATGAC